AATACACACAAAGGACTACATTAAACCAAGAATCCTAAATGATTATGGGAAATCACTGTCTAATCATCCGCCACCTCTCCCTCACGTAGGAACTGCAGCCATTTTCATTTGAGATCATGAGTTCCTCAGAGTAGCAGGCAAACAAATATATTCTGTACGCATTATTGTGAGGTACTTACTTTACCTACAGTTTTGTAACACTCTTAAGATCTTGTGAGAAAATAATGCTTAATTTTCTCCAGAGGAAGAGTGAGAGACTACAAATAACTGTAATTCCTACTTCAACCCCCCACCAGATGCAAGATGGTCCACTGGAAGGGGCACAGTCAGAGATAAGTATGTCTTTCCACATGCTGACCATTTTGTATGATTCTCCCCTGACCCTCACTTTCTTCCTCTGCTTATGGACTGGCCCATTCATAACCCTATCATGATAACACCCCCAACTCAGCTTAGGTGCCCCTGTTCAGTGTTCCTATGGTTTCTCCGTGCTGAAATCTCCCAGTAGATGATTTATTTTGCTATGTTGTCACCTTCTGTTTAAATGTCTTTCTCTCCCATTAGCTCATACGATTCTCCAAGGCAGAAAAGACCTGTGCATTTTTCTATCCCCAGTACCTAAAATACACTTGGCAGCCTCTTAATAAATGTCTGCTTAATGCCAAGTAATTTACAGTAGATAAAGAAGTTAAGCTTCACTGACAATTAGAACCAGCCTTGAGATCTGGTTAGAGAAACAGGCTGGAAAGTACAGCCTCTTGGTCTGGACCAGTCCAGCCTCAATAGTGCCATTTTAGGAAACTGTCTGCATGGAGGTCTTCAGGGCCGCTCTGCTACTCCAGCAAGCACCCTTCTTTGCCACATTCTACCCCTTCAACCTCTGGTGAACTCCCCCAGGCCCAAATCTCTTGTTTCTGCTCCGGAGGACGCAGTTTTAAACACGGCTGCAAAGCACAAAAGTCATATCCCCAATTCAACAGATTTCAAAAGCCCTTCACAGCACAGATTTCCAACTCTGTTTACTTTACCAGGAACTTTACAGAATTATAAACACACTGTTACAATTTTAAAATACTTTTAGATGACAGTAGCAACTACAGAACACCTATTTGTTTTCTGCCTCCAGCTTTTCCCAGGGGACCCAGTGGTGCCATTTTGTTGCTATGTAAATTAGCACTGTGTAATGCTCTGGATTGTTTACTGAATTCTTCAAGGCCCAGCTCAAATTACCATTCTTCACGAAGTTGGGTATTTATTAAATATAAGACAACTAAATATTTAGCCTTTCTCTGCACTCAGCCTGTGCCTATGCCGGCTGTTCTCAGCTCCACGTATTTCCATGCCTGGCCACCGTGCTTCTCCAGCTCCTTTGAATCACAAGGCCTGTTTCCTGATGTCTGGAGCCCTTTCACAACCAGTTCTCGGTCTGTCAGCTTCCAGCTCCATTCCCTCCCTTGCTCTTGGAGGCTAAAGCTCTGAAAACAAGTTCCCAAGCTTGCCAGCTTGGTTTTTAGTGAAGTTCTGCCAATGGAAGAAACTGGTGTGAGACTGGGAGATGGGAGGAGGAAGAAAACATTTCTGTCTGCTCTGGTGCACTGTAGGTAGCACAGTGGGGCTGATGAATATGGGCTCCAGTTCCTGTTGAGACAGCACAGTTCCATGGTGGCAGCAGTGACTGTTTCCAGGGCTTCAGCAACACAGAGTTCCTGTGCTTAGGCTGCCTATTTTGTTGCCCTACTCAATTACTAACAAGAACCTAGAACATAAAAGCCAATGGTCTTCATGGGTGCATGCTGGCAGACACAGAGCTAACACCTAATGGTCTAACTCTGGTAGTGGAAGCTGCTTCTTATTCGATGAAAGGGTTAAACAGCCCTGAATTTTGAGCCTAGAGCTCCATGCTCTATAGTTGCTATCTCTTAAGCAGAGGTAGAGCCAAGGATAAGGATGGAGAGGGACTTACGAGAGCTTATGTTTTCTAGAAGAACTAGGACACCTAAGAAGGGAAACGAGCCCCATGTAATGCTAAATAGCACAGTCTAATATCAGTGTGAAGTGCTTACTGCTCCCCCAAGTCTTACTAACTGTATATTCTCTATTCATCTACAAGACTCATAAGAAGAGCTATTTAAAAGGAAAAAAGAAATGCAAATGGCCCTTAAACATATGAAAAGATGCTCAATTTCTCTCATAAGAGAAATGCAGTTAAAAACTTCATGGAGATACAATTTTTCACCTATCAAACTGGCAAAAAATCCGAGGTTTGACAATATGTGCCACATACACTGCCAATGAGAATTTTAAAATGGTACAATCCTTATGGAGGTGAATTTGGAAATATCTAGCAAAATTATCCATGCATTTACCCTTTCATCATGTAATCTTCTTCTCAGGATCACAAAAATATATTAGCAAAAACAGGAAGACTTATGCACAAGGCAACAGCACAATTTCTAGTAACAGAAGACTGAAAACAACCCAAATGGTTCATCAATATATAACTGGTTGAATAAACTACAGTGTATATACACTAATGAATACCATGCAGCTATAAAAAGGAATCAATAATATCTTCCTATATATCTAGTGCTAGGGTAAGTGTTAAGTACAAAAAAGCAAGGTGAAGAAAGTATCTATAGCATATAGTATGCTACCAATGTTGGGAGGATAAAAAATAGTTTTGCTCTTTTTCCCTCATGAGAACCTGGAGTTTGTACCAGCGGTTCTCGAGGGAGGAGTGCACATTTCACAGGACGTGGGAAGGAATAAGCGGTTGTTAGCTATAATTTAAAAGTAACTCTGGGTGGTTCTGACATTCACTTTGTCCCCTTTACAGGGCCACTCCTTTCTCCCAGCCCCCAGTAGAGTGGCTGGCTGAGACCTGTGTGCTGCCGAAATTTACCTGAAGTTATCACATGGAAGGCTGGTAATTACTATTTCAAACACCCCTTTCAACTAAGCAGAGCCACATGTCAGACAGGTACACCCTCAGGACTCACACACCTCCCTGTCTGCCCAGCACGGGGCAGCTGTGAGCTATGAAGATAGCAGGAGGAGGACCAGATGGGATCCCATTGCAGGCCACCTGCCCATATGTGCACCACACCCCTGCCCACCTGCACCACTGCTCCATCTGGCTGAGGGGGGTGACAGGCAGATGACTGCAGTGTTCTTTGCAGTCAGACTTGTGAGCACCACAGAACGGGCTCGACGAAAAGTGTTTGACCAGACACCAAAAACACTTCTTGCATCTCTGCAGTCATCTCTCACCCCTGACACACCTGAGACTATCATGGCTTCAGACTATGCTGACGACTTCAGTGTAGACAAAACACAGACCAAGAACAGCACCCCTCACTACAAGTAATCCTTGAGTTTAATTCCTGTAACAGCCTCTCATGCCAGATTAGCCTGTTTCTTCGATAATTACAGTGTCCACAAACCTGTTCTTTTTCCAATAAAAATGGGGTCCTTTTTAAAGTAGGTGGCACCTTCTATGTAGCACATTCAAAACTGCAGTGCACTGGGTGGAAATGAGTAGACAAATGCTACACATCTTAAGACTATGAAGGTGGTCTTGTTTCTAAGATTCTTCCCAGGGAGGACTGCCATAACCACACACAGTGAGGTCTGAAGTCTATGAAAGAACCTGGAGAGGACCTGAACACTCCCTATAGCCCCATCACCAATATTCCACACAGCCCACAAAATTAAAAACCTTGATAACATTAGGTAAGGCTTCAGCACTGTCAGTTTTCAAATTTCTTAAAAGTTACTAAAATTATTATTTATATTTATATTAAAAATCATATCCATAACAAATTTAAAACCAAATTATTTATTTTAGTTGAGCTCTAAAAGTTCTCTATGTGTTGGAATAATTTCTACTCCTACTGTTTTATTAATACTACTCTCCTATATTTCCATGATAAAGGATTACATTTAGGGCACAGCTGGTGTTAGGGAAATGTAGACGGATGACCAAAGAACTAGAAAGCATTTGCAGGTTACACTCGTCTTTCCCATCTAGTCACTGCCATGATTTTAGGATCTCTGTCACTATGCTGTGTCCCAGCATGGACAGGACTTGAGAAGGGGAGGAGAAGTGAGTCCTTTGTGAAGGCAAAAACTTCTACTTTGCAGGGACATCTCATCCCCCTCTTGAACCCCCTGCATGCATGTTCCATGAGGCTATGGTAAAGGCACAGATTTAAGAATCTAATTAGTCAAACCATGATCCTGGTGAGAGCTGAGTAAAAACCTGTGGGCCTAGGAAAAAGGAACAAAAAGGAAAAGCTACTCGTGACATCTAGAATGCCAAGACCTGGTGGGACTGTACACAATGCCAGACCATACAGCACCTAAAACAAATACAACACACAACAGAAAGCAACCAAACAAATAACCAAAGTTTAAAATATACCTTTTGGAAAGATCAATCAGGAAGTACTTCCCACAAGGTAACCTGTCTTTCACAATGACAATTCTGTTACTCTGGTCTTATTCAAATCCATAACAAATTTAAAACCACTTTCTTAAGGTGAACTTGGCTAAAGAGGGCAAATATGGGCTGAAAAGAACATACATTCATACCGAAGCAAAGCCAAAAATACGTGCATAGCCTTGGAAAGTATGAGACTGGATCACTGTTATACAGACCTCCTCCTTGATCTTACTACCATTAAGTACAGAAAAGCCTTCGGCATGAAAGGCTTTGCCTGGCTGTCATAAGCATTCCCCACATAGCAAATCTGAACGAATCACTAGAACATTTTCAATTCTTAACTACTAGAAAAATATTGATATTCTTTTAAGTTTACTGGTATTATTTTGACTTCTTCTAAAAATATAAGCCCTCCCCTGTGTCACTCAACCTTAAGGCATTCAAACCAACCAAATTTCTTAGTCAAAGCTGATTAAGAGATGAGGCAAGGGAATAAAAGAAATACTTGAAAATAAAATATCTAAGCAGATGTACAAAATGTAGCTGTAATACTTACCTATCAGGCCCTTCTCGAGAGTGAAGGTTTGGTTTGTAAACATGCATTCAAAAGCCACAATGTGAAAAATCTTGTTCACTGTGTTGTGAGTCCCAACTATTCGAATATATCTGGGGGTAAAAAGAAAAGAAAGTTTGTTGAAGAAAATGAGCTTCCGTCACAACCAATCCAAAAATAACAGAGTAAGACATATTACATAAACATACAGTGTACCAGGGCCTGGACTAAAGGAGACTTTGAACTTGACTTCAGACCCTGTACCTGCTCCTTAGGGCTAGCTCCAACTGAGCCTTAAAAGAATTACAACAAAATTAGGAAGATAGCACTTTCCAGAGAATTAAGCAGGACTTAAGATTTGATTTACCTAGAAAATCAAACCATGTACTGTTCAGCTCAAATCCTGAACGTCAGTACAACTATACATCCATGAGACATTTACGCTGGAGAATAACAAACTACTTCTATCTCTGTCTGTGGTTAGGAATGTGCCCGTACACAGGTGTACAAACACATAGAAAATCAAACACTTTCAAATTCAATGAAAGTTTTCATCCATTGGAGACAAATACATGAAATCAATATTGTTTTCTTGCTTAAAAGAAATATCCACAGAACCACTGGAAAACACTCACAGTTTCTTGTATTTTAGTACTGCTCCCAAATCGTTGTTGGGAAGTTACTCCCCCACTCCACACCTCCCCACCCCCCGCCCCCGCCTTTACTGCTGGGAAGCCTTCTCCTGACCAGAGGAAGTGATCCGCAGAGGTGACCCAGCCTGCTCTGCACCTCCCTCCGGCCCACAGGGATCTGGCATCTGCACACAGTGCAGAGTTTCACAGGGCAGGTCTTGAGCATCTTGGCCTGTTCCCCCTCAGTATCTCCCTGGAGGCTTCACCTCCAACAAACAAGCATTAACCTTGGAGTGACTTGCTCCTTTCACTCTCCAAAGGGACCTGACAGTTCACAGGTTAATGAACAGACAAACTCATTCTTCTGAGTGCCACAGGGGGAATGTACCACATTCTTACTGGAATTCAAAGGAAGAACCAGGAAAAATAACTAGATTAACTGATGACACTCTCCCAAATTATGAACTATCCACTCTGTAGGACAGGGCATATTAAACGCACAGATTTCAATTAGGAGATGACAGACCGGGCCAGGGTTCAGCAATATCCTCTCTCCACTGTGTAAAGCAACCTTCAAGTTAGATGATACAATTTTACTTCTGAGTTAATCGCTGTTCACTAATTCGGTAATTTCCTTATATTTCTCATCACTCCAAGTTAACTGTGTAACATAAATGCCGATTTTAAAAATTCTCATTAAGGAGACTAGATTTGGGGGTTTTATATCATGGGCTATTTTCCCTCCTGTTTCTGCAAGCCTGAATCTCACAGCGTTCCCTGTGCACCTCATTTGGCCATCTGTTCCTTGACACGAGCTGGTCACTCATCTTCATAACCAATAGAATGCCATCTCCTGGACTGGCTGTTCAGCATGCCCACAGCCATTGCGGGAGACACTGTGCTTCCCGTGTGGAGCGCCAGGGCAACTGGTCCGTCACCAGAGCCCTCTGGTGAAGCAAAAAGCTGGCCCTGATCTATTTTCTTTGGCCCTCAAGGCAGACAGAAGGTGCTGAATTCCCTGGGTTTGGGTGGGTTCCTTTAAAAGAGATTCTAGATGGTGTGGGTAGAACAGATTGCATTGTTCTTTACTGTTAGCGGTGATACTGGGCTTTCTGGAAGGGAAGGGGTGTGTTAAGGCTGGCACCTGGGCCTGAATCTAATTTTGTCCATTTCCTTAAAACCACAGAAACACAACCAGCATAGCATTTTCAGCTGCTCGTGGTCGTGACAGCCTGAGTGCTGCTATCTGCAGCGTGGAGGGGATGGAGGGGATGTGGTTTGGTGCAATTTGATCAGACCACTCTCTTGCTCCCTAGGTCGAGCCTCCACCAGAGGAGAGACAGCTCTCCTAATACTGCGCAAGGCAGAGGAGCCTGACAGCAACTAACAGGGCCTTTCCCCTTGGCAGTTCTCAAGGTTAACAGTCCCACTGACAAGGGATGCGGTAATGATCCCCCTCCCTCTCCCTCTTTTTAAAACATGATATGGAACTAAGTTCTCCAAGTTTAGGTAATAGTCATTTTCCAAAATTTACCCTGGTGCAAATGTCAGGAATTGGAGAAAATATGCAACCTTCCTTTCCCTCGTTCCCTAATTATAAGAAACTGAAAATAAAAATTGTACTGGAATAAATTTCACAGCCTTAATGAAAGTGTTTGAGATAACAAACAAGATAATACATATGGCTGGAAAAGCACGAGAGATGCCTCCAGATAAAAAGTTCTATATAAATGAAGATAATGTTATCTCTGCTGCATAATCCTGAGGTCAAATTAGCAATTCACCACTGTATAGTATACTTCTTGATTAGCCTGTTCTATGTAATGCTCATAACAAGTTTAATTATTCTAGTTCTACAATACTTTGTAAGTCTCCAAAAAATTATAGCATAATTTACAAAAACGGCATAAAGTCCCTATTCAAATACACATTTTAAAAAATGGTAACAAAGTCAAGAAACCATGCTGCTTTTCTCCAGCAAGGAGCTGCTGGCATAGGACTCTGTCCTTCACTGAAGAAGATCTCGACTAGAACTAGCAAATAGGCTTCAACTCATCCCCCAACTTCGAGACCGGCAAGGTGGCCCGCAGCTCTACATTGCAAACTTCGAGGTCCTGTGCAGCTCAAGTGGAGGGGGCCCCTGATCCATGAGCAGTGTCTCCAGGAGGAGGGAGGTGGCACAGATTTTCTTAATGGGACTCACAATGGAGCCTCCCGAGGCAGAAGGGAAGTTATTACCTGAGATATTGAAAAGCCAAGGGATGGGGATGGGAAAGAGTCCTCTCTCACTTTTTTATTTTTCTTGAAAAACAAAGCAAAACTTGCTCTGGGTCATAACACTTAAACCAGAGAAGTAACTACCATATTTTTTTCTGTCACAAATTTTTGAATAAGAGGCAAAGTTAAAGATTAATTTTTTCCCTTTCAACACCATCTCTCCAATGCACAGTCAGACTCTGATTTAACCTGGTAATCGGGGCAGTGACAGCTCGTGACTTCATCTGTGTTCAGAGAGAGCGCTGCTGAAAAATCTAATAGCTACCCTTTGTTCTCTCCAGGTCCTCAACAGCAGATCAGACAGTTGAAAGATAATTAAACCTTTAACAGTGCTCAGTAAGGCAGATATGCAACAGATTGGCCATTTCTTGTGAGGATGAATGCTGTCCACATGATCCCTGGTGTAACAGTCTGTTTCCAAAATTCTCCTCCCTTCCCTATGTTAGTTGTCTTCTAGTTACTGACAAAGACTGGGTCCTGAACATAGTTCAGAAAAGGATGTTTCAATGCAGAAGTTTCTAGGAGCTGTAATAGTGTGGGTGAAAACAGGTTCTGTCTTTTTTAATCAAATGAAATTTAAAACCTCCAAGGTTGGCACTCTAAAATTGAAAGGCACTATGGAGTTTTGAAGAATGTGCTTTAGAGTCTAACAGAGCCAGGTTTGTGGCCCAGCCCCATCATTTAATTCACTGTGTCACTTTGGGGGAAATGCTTTAAACCTTTTTAAGCTTTCGTTTCTCTATAAAGTAAGGTCGGTAACAGAGACCTTATAGGATATTTAAATGAGGTAAGCATGTAACATGTCTAATTCAGGGCTTGGCAGAGTAGGATATCTTTAAATAGAAATTTAAAGAGTAGATCATTGGGTACAGAAGGTCTTTGTTTGAACTTTGAGAAAACTGGTTGTCTGGGCAAGAATTCTTAACTGTGGCTGCTAAAATGGTGCATCTGTAAGGAGGCAGGCCCAGGGGCAGACTTCAAGAACACAGGCAGGGTCTTGTCCTTGCTCTAGGGCCGTGGTCAGCAAACTGCAGCTCGCGAGCCACATGTGGCTCTTTGGCCCCTTGAGTGTGGCTCTTCCACAAAATACCACAAAATACCACGTGCGGGTACGCACGTACAGTGTGATTGAAACTTCGTGGCCCATGAGCAGAAGTCGGTATTTTGTGGAAGAGCCACACTCAAGGGGCTAAAGAGCCGCATGTGGCTCGCGAGCCGCAGTTTGCCGACCACTGCTCTAGGGCATAACAGCGAAGGCACTGAGGGCCACAGTAAGAAGATGACCTGGCTCTACAGTATTTCCCACTTCAAGGCCCCAATCTTTAGAAAAGCCTATTTACAATACCCTTGACCTGATGCAGCTATGCATGAGGAGGCAAGGCAAGAATCCTCTGCCCATATTTGGTCCAGCAACCCACACCCACAGAAGAGTTTCCTTTTTGTGCGAACCCTAGAAGTTTAACCCCTAGAGCAGGGGTCCTCAAACTTTTTAAACAGGGGGCCAGTTCACTGTCCCTCAGACCGTTGGAGGGCCGGACTATAGTTTAAAAAAAAACTATGAACAAATTCCTATGCACACTGCACATATCTTATTTTGAAGTAAAAAAACAAAACGGGAACAAATATAATATTTGTATTTGCATGTGGCCCGCGGGCTGTAGTTTGAGGACCCCTGCCCTAGAGTGCCGGGGAGCGCGATCGCGCTCTTCCTGCAGTGTCACTATTAGATGCTAGTAGTTCACTCTTTATTGACAGATGGCACCTAAGTGCAGAAAACAAATGTAGTAAAGGTTTCCTTAAGTTTTTGAATATGTAACTTCATTTACTTGCGATTTATAATTTTTTTCCTAAACTGCTGTAAAATCAGCAAAAATGCCTTGGCAATTTTAGCACAGTTCCTAGGATATTGGTTGGCACTCAAAGGGTTAAGGAAAACAGGATTTCCTAACGGTGGACATCATAATACTGTGGCCTACAGGCATTTTGCTTTGGAGCTTTTACTGCATTCCCTGCTTGCTCTGGGAAGGTACAAATTCCTATTCTTAACCTATCTTTCCATCATTTCTTATCAGGATGCTACCAGGTTTAATTTCTAAGTCATAAACATTATAACTTTAACATCCTAAAGAAAACAGAAACAAACAGTAACTTGTACATTCCTACTTTAAACCCTTGATATTTATTCTCTAGTCTTTGATTCTGGT